AGTCTGTATGGCAGGTCCTTGGCACCAACGTTTTCCTTCTCTACACATCCATCCCTCTGGATCTGTGCTGCCTCCTAACACTTGGACCTGTCCATGGGTGACAAGCTTTCAACTCCCAGGGGCAACTTCAACTGTTAAAATAAGTCTCAAAGACAACCAAAGGAGAGGCTGTGTAGGGAGGAGACACAAACCTGCTCCATGAACCAGCAGTGGCCCTCCAGGAAACATCTCACAGAAGCCACACTGAAGGGACACTGAAACAAATACCTTTTCTTGTAAACATCCTGGTATGGCAGAAACTAAACAGAGTGGTGAATTTTATCTTTAAAGCCAGGGTAGAAGGAGAAAAACTATCTATAAAGAATGCATATAAAATGGGAAAATATTAATAACCACCCAAATTAGGTCAGTGAACTGCTGGGAGGCTTTGCTATGAATGGAGTGAGAGAGGGGGCGTAAAGTGAAAAAAGGGACAACTCAGGCCACTAAAACAAAAGGTTTGGACAGAGTCATAGAGTAATTAAGGTTGGAAAAGAGCTCTTAGATCATCAAGTGCAACTGTTAAATGAAGGTGTTAATTAAAACACAGCTCCAGGGAGGTGAAGGGCATCCAGGGAAGGAGCTGCCAGGAAGGGGAAAGGCATTGGGTACCTACACAAAGGTCCCTGCCCTCCTTCAGTCCTGTGAAAAGAAGCCAACACAAGACATATTCCCCCAGGGCTGCAAGGCAGCTGGAATGGGGAGAAAACCAAGAGAAAAGTGCAACCAAAATATTCTGAACCTGCAGAGAGTCTGGAGCAACAGCACGAAGGCACCAGAGTCCAGGCTGCAACAGCGGATTCATTTCAAGCCCTGCTGCCACAGGAGACAATTCCAGAATCCTGGATGTGATGGGAGCAAAGGAGCACAGGGACACTGGTTATGGAAGCAGACAGGCCCTGCTCAGATGGGTAAAGCCCAGGCAGTGCCACCTCTCCCAGCTTGGTTGGCAGGGACACCTCGGTGCTGTCGCTGTGTCACGGGAAACACTTCCCTGCTCCAGCCATGCCATGGAAAGGTGGCACCAAGCTGGAGGGAAACCTCTCCAATGACTTTGTTAAATTAGTGCCCAGGATTAACCTCAGGAGTCTCTGGATGGGGAATGGGCCAGCAGGAGGGATTAGTGTGCCTGGAGAGAAGGGTGTTCGCTGAACCCTCACCTCACTTGGCACCGACAACAGGAGAAACCACCCACCTGCTTCCTCCTGGATTTATGGAAGTGCCACAGTGGCTCCATCTGGAAGTGATCTACACTTAGATATGTGTCCTGATAACTTAGGGATCTCCTTCATGCCCTAAATACCAACAGGGCTGGGCCTGGCACTGCTCCTCTGGACTCCTGTTTTCTCAGACTCTGACACACCTTTGCCTCTCTGTTCCACCTTTCCTCTGGTGTAAAGGATATAACTACAACATTCATTAGTCAATGAATTTATTAACTCATCCGAATACATCAGAGGAGTAGAATATTATAATTAATGCTATAGTCTGTATGATCCTATAATTAAAATTATAGGCCATAATTAAAATTATAGTCTCACAGGTGACATGTCAGTGATTGCTGATTTAAGAGAGTGAGCACAAAGGATGGACATGAAGGAGAACTGCCCATCCCAAGCTTGCAAAACCCAGGAAAGTGGCTCCAAAATAAGCATCAGTTGGGTAGTAAGATATTAGTGGGGAAGAAGTAAATCACTTCTGGTGCTGGGGGAAGCTCATGTCATAAAGACAATCCCTGTGAGCAGGAGGATAAACCAGGGTTTGTTCACTTGCTTCCCTAGACAGAGGTGTCTCCTTGAGGGAAGGCCAAAGCCCTCGAAGAACAACTTCCTTCCAGACTGGCTTGGCAGGGACTCCTGGTCCCCTTCCCACTGGAGCTGGGCATTCCAGGTGCCTGTGCAAGCCAAGAGCCAGGGATCTGGGACATGATCCAAAGTGTCCATGCAGAACAGGGAGACACCATCCATGCAGGCGTCAGGACTACAACCCTCCCAGCCCTGGTCCCTCTGGGACTCCCCAGTGAGTGGGGCAGGAAGCCCCTCTGCTCAGCTCAGCTCTTTTTGATCAGCATTTTCTCTGCCTTCAGGAGCCGAGCGGAGTTTGCTCTCCCTTCAAACCATGTCCAAGGGTGGGAAGAGGCAGCTCAGTGGTCCACAGATCATTCCCCAGCTCCCAGGAGCACCCTGACCATTCCTCAAGGCTTAGCTGGGAAAACACCAGGTCACCAAGAGATAAACTCAATAAATAGTTCAACTCTGCCAGCCATGGAGGACTGATGGATACATAGAAAGAGCTTCTGAGCCTGGAGCTTCTGCCTGACATCCCCTCAGCCATGTCCTACCAGCTCTGGGACCCCAGGGGCACATTCCAGCGTGGAAAGAGGCAAACCCCCCCAGTGCCACCAATTTGGTAGGTATTTACAGTCGTGGGATGGTTTGGGGTGGGAGGGACCTTAAAGATCATTTAGTTCCAACCCACTTGCCATGGGCAGGGACACCTTCCACGAGATCAGTCCTGTTCAACCTGGCCTTGAGCATCCTGATCCACTCGACCCACAGGGGACACAGAAAATTCCTGCCCATCCCAAGGCCTTCTGCCCCCCAGCACATGAGCTCTGACCAGGAGACAGGAGCTACAAGGGTGCAAAAAGAGGGACAAACCCGTGGGATTGGTGTAAAACCTCCCCAAAGCCGAACACGCTTCACGGGCCAAGTCCTTCCCTGCCACAAACCCCCCCTTGGAAAAAGGAAGCTCTCGAAGGACAATTAGCTGGAGCTGATTAACAGCTGCTTGAAAAGGAATCCAGGATAAAGTTTCTGCCAAGGAGACTTTTCTCCTTAACTCCTGAACGACCAAACTTCCTGGAATGGCTCCCAAGGCCTCTTATTGTTACTCTCCAAGTAACTTTGCCATTTTTCCCTCTTCTATCCATCTTTTTGCAGGCATGGCTTGCTTTCAAGGAGACCAGCAAAGGTGAATATGGTATTTTATTAGTAAATGCCACATTTTTCAAGAGCATTCCTTGCTTTGATGTTTCTCCAGGCAGCAAACACTGGTGCCTTCAGCTTTGTCCAAGGCAAAATGTCAACATGTGAAGGGCAATAATGCCACTGTCACCTACCTGGAGTGACAGGACTCAAGCAAAGGCCTCTGGCTTTTAAGAAAAGCTGTATCAAAATTAATCTATTCCACCATCACCAGGAACCCTTGGCTTTGCCCTTGCATTGGGATGAAATACTTGGCATTAAGAAGAAAAGGAATAAAGATAAAAGCTCAGAGATGTGAAGGTCAGCCCAGGGGTTCCCCAAATGAAGAGTTTATTCAAAATAGGTCCTCAGCTGCAGTGTCCCCCCAGCACACAGGGGATCCTGACACAAAGTGATCCCTAAAAACTCACAAAACAATCCTCAAAAAACCTCCCATACATCCCCAACATTCCTGGGACAGCAAATAACTCTGTGATAATTAATAATAGAGCTTAAAATCCCCAGCTTCACTGCCAAGGTTTTCTTGCCTTTGCTTCTGATGGAAATCAATCAAACCCAAATAGCAACACTCAAAAAATAATATCAAAGGATAACAGCACGTGCCTGGAATACTTGGGACCATCTCCCTGAAGCTGCTAAAGTTGATTTTCCAGCCCTTTGTAAAATGCTTTGTAGAAGTTGCTCCTGGCATTAACATGCCATGATTTCAGCTATATATAAAAATACACATAATAATATATATTTATCAGTAATATCTATAGCACCGTGTCCATTTGACTTGACATTCTGGGCCCAAAATCCCTGTTTTTTGGGATGGCAGAGGAAGGAAGGTGATAAAGGAGTTTTAGGGAACTTAACCTTTTCTAACAGAACTTCTTTTTAAGAGGGAATCTTACACATTTGATCTGGGGCAGGGAAATCCTGTTGCAAACTAAACTGCAACCCTGCATTCTAGCACCTTAAAATACATTTAATATCATTAAAAACGCAGTTCAAACGTCACTCAAAGATGATAAAAAAGAAGCTTGTGGGTATTTTGCAGAATTAGCAGGTTTTGCTCAAGAAACTCAGTTTCTTGAGATGGATATTTAGTTTCTGAAAGGAACAGAGAGGTATTTTTAATCAATTAGGGCGTCTCACTTTCTCTCCATAGGAGTACCTTTGGTACAGACTATTACAACCCTCTCTGGTTTAATGAGAAGTTACTGTGTAGAACTTAGGAGCAGGCTTAAATTTAGGCAGCTGTAGATCACTGATGAACAGTCACACTCTCCCTTCCCTAAAAAATCCCAATAAAAGCCAATAATTGCATAGGAGGAAAAGCAAAGAAATGTTGTACAGAGCAGATTTAATTTCCTTCTTAGCAGCTCTTGCCTTTGAATTCTATCTGGCTCATGTTCAGCATCTCTCTAATCAGAACTCTCTTCTAATTCCTCTTCCAAGGCTTGATCATTGGGAGGGAATCAGAGTTCAGACCTCACGAAGCTTCCAGATTAAAATCCAACCGTAGATCAAGGATGAATGAAAATTGGTTTTTTAAAAAATATTTTAAACTCACAATACACTCCAGCCCCCATTTCCCACCCTTGGCCTCAAACCACCTTTAGACTCTGTGAAGGTACCTGAGGAAGGGCAGAGCTCTCTGAAGAAACCCATTATCCTCAACAACCATTTTCTTGACTGCAATCCCAAGAGCTCGAGTTTCTCACCTTACAGGAGTTCAAGAGAATTTTTTGGAAGATCCAGCACTTCTGAGGACTCAAATGCTGTGATTAAGAAGGACCTTGGGGCCGCCTGGCTTTGGGCACTGACCCGAGGAGACTCACCTCCACATTCACAATAATTCTCTCCTTTTTAAGCAGTTTTACACTATTGTGTGAAGAAAAAGGAGGTGTTTTTTTTAACTACAGAGACGTACCATCAATAAAAATGAGTTTTAAGATTTTCTGCTGAACACAGGGAGCAGACACTTACTTTGCTTTTGCTTCTGCATCTTCATAGGCTTTGTTGGAAACGTCATCCAGGCCGCCGATGAGATGCTTGAAGGAGCTGTAAAAACAAAGGGGCACTTTTAGGGGAAGAACTGTAGAATCCTTAAGTCTGGAAAGGATTTTGGGATCAGCAAGTCCAAGCACTAACCCAGCACTGCCACTACCCCATGTCTGAAGTGTCCATTTGGGAGCCACGAAAACCCCCGTGGCTCTTTGGCAGCAACCAGGGGCTGTATCTCGATGCCCACGACCAACCAAACCAGGGCCAGGGCTGGGAAACACGGCCCCAGAAATGCTGGAGGTGCAATAATCAAGGCCAAGAAGATCCAAACTTATTTATCCAGCCCCCTGAAATGACTGCTGGAGGTTTTCCACCCTCCAGGAGCAGTTCCAGAGCGAGCGTGTGGACGTGGCTGGTGGTGGCACCTCAGCCCCGATCCCCGTCCTCCCACCAGGATCCCCAGAAATCCCTCTGCTTCCAAAGTGAGGGAGAATCTTTATTTCTGCCTCTGTCTCATCTTTAAGAGAAACACTCCCCCAAAAACACATCAAAGGGTTCAAACTGAAAGAGGGGAAATTTAGGTTTGGGAATATTGGGAAGGGATTGTTCCCTGGGAGGGTGGGGAGGCTCTGGCACAGGTTGCCCAGAGAAGCTGTGGCTGCCCCTGGATCCCTGGAAGTGTCCAAGGCCAGGTTGGACAACCTGGGCTAGTGGAAGGTGTCCCTGCCTGTGGCAGGGGGTGGAAGGAGACGAGCTTTGAGGTCCTTTCCAACCCAAGCCAGTGTGTGATTCCATGATTCTAAAAAATCCAACTGTTATGTCTTTGGTGGTGATACCAAACAGTGCCCCAGGCAAATAAAAAACTAGAAATAAATTATTTTTAATGATTATAAGATACCTAGAATGAAAATACTCCAGGTGAAAAGCTCATTCCCTACTATACATTTCCAATATTCCCAGCCTGTCTGTCACACACCAGTTTTCCTTTTTTCCAAGGGAGAAAGCAGCCCTTGCCAAAGGAGAAAAGAGCCAGGCTAATTTGAAAGGATGAACTGCTGCAAACTACAGCCTCTTGACTAAGCTGTGCCTTAAGGTCATGGCCTCACAAAGAAAAACCCTGCAGTCCCTCCAGCCTTATGTTCCTCACACCCCTGAGGCACCAAACACAGAGCAGAAGAGCAGAAATGGCTGTTAAGTCGAAAACAAATTAACTGAAAAGCTGGGAAAAGTGAAAAAAAATATTAAAATGACCATTTAGGGCCACATTTTTGAATTTAGGAATAATATTTAACATGGAAATATTCACCACGAGGAGCTGCAGGATGAAAGAGAATTGATGCTGCTGAGCAGGTGAGGGAAATCCAGGGCAGGCTGAGCCAGGGGCAGCTGGGAAAGGCAATATCCTGTGGGACAGGAGGTCAACCAGGATGGCTTCGTGTTCCCTTCATGGAGCTGTCCCAGCCACGCTGTGCCCAGGGAGATTAAACCTGCTGACAGGCTTAAGTGGGTACTTAAGTGTCCTGCAGCATCAGGAGACGGCTGATCCCATGGAAGGTACTCAGTGTGCACGCAGGGAACGGGGACGGGACTTCCAGGAGAACCAGAGGGGGGGAAATCATCTTGCTTTAAAAACAGCAGCTGGAAAAAGCCACATTTTACCCATAGGAGGCAAGAGAAGATGGTTGGGAGAGGGATTTACAGTGATTTGGATCTAGAGCTGCTGCAAAGGGGCCTTCCCTGAGTAATTCCCCCTCACGCTCCTGTGCCCTGTGCTCTGGGATGGCCCTGCTGGAGCAGGGAGGTGGGACCAGATGCTCCACTGTGGGCTCTTCCAACCTGACCCATTCCAGGATTTTCTGCTTCCTGGAACTCAGGAAAAATCCCCCCAGCTTTCCACTTTGTTTAATGGTTACATTTTGAACGACATAATCGAGGAAATCATTTCTGTGGCGTCCAGGAAAGCAATGGGAATTCATCACTGAGGAAGAGAAGGTAAAGCCCCCTTTGCTCTTGCAGGGAAGTTGCTTTGGGGTTTTTAACAAGGCTGGTTACTATTAATATGAATATTTTTAATATTAAGATGTGTGAATCACCAGAGCATCTTTTCAACCCCAAATTCCCCTTGCCCAGTAGTGAAAATATGAACGAATCAGCTCATCCAACACCTCAAGGTTTCTCTTCCTTGTGCCAGGGATGTGCCAGAGGTTGAAGCCAAACCCTTGCAAGGCAACAGTGAAAGCAAACCAAGATGTGGATGTTAATGCTCAATTAAAAACCAGATATTCAGACAATTAATTAACATAATCCTCCTGGATCACCATAAGACATGATCTAGGGCTTAAAATGTAATTTGGGCTTGCTTTGCTTTGGAAAATGTGGCAGGGTTAAACAACCCTGTGTTTTGTTTTTTTTTTATTGGCAGTGCAAATAAATCTTTCTCTAGTGAAACACAGAAGAAAAAGTCACTGCAAGGAGTAACAAGTTTGTCTGATATCCTTAAGTTTTTATTAAAAAAGTTAAGCAAGACTTAGGACTGGGCAAGACGTTGAAGCTCACTCTGTTATTGCTGTTGAAGTGTCAGCTCAGTCACAACCTCCCCAAGGAGTCAATCAGAAAACTGCTCTGGTTTTTTTTTTCCCCCCTCACAGCCTTTTCTCTTCATTTTTTTCCTATTCTCTCCTCACAACCAATTTTCTCCATGGATAAACTTCGCTCCAACTGGGAGAAACACTAAAGCAGCAAAACCTAAAATCCCCGGTGGAAGAGTCTGGCTCGGCTTGTGGAGGGTCAGTCACGCTCAGATAACACTTTATTTTATTTTTCTCCAACTTCCATTGCCAAGAGGGTCGATCCAGGAAGCTTTCCTAACACCTCAGAGCTATCCCTGACAAAAAGGCTTTTAAAACCAGACAAAACCCACAAAATGCAAAGCGGAAAAATCCCAAAATAGCTGAAATATTTGAAATGCTGCCTTAAAAAAAAAAAAAAAAAAGTGTATCATCTTGATATGTGTAACTGAAGGAGACAACAAGCTGGAAAAAACAGCATTTAGCATTAAATATCTGCAAATATCAGGTACTTTTGCAGCACTCTGTGCCTTGAGTTTTACTGGCTCTGATCCATCAGATTTGCATGAGGCAATTTTGTTCTCCCAGCACCCACGATGCTGACACTTGGTAAATCTCAGAGCCCCAGAAAACATTGTTAGCATCATAAATAAATTATGGAGGGGGGGGAAAAAAATCACATATAAATAAAAGATGAACCTGAATCAACTTAAGTATAAATATTCTTACAGTTCAGGAGGAGCTCTGAATGTTTTCTGAGACTTTTTGAGTTTCAAGAAGTGGGTGTGAAAATAAAAGAGAAGGATAAAGTTGCACCAACTTCTCAGAGTGTCAGTGATGATCCAAATGTTGGGAATGAGTTTGGAATCTTTTCCTCCCGCTTTCTCTCCCCACAAAGGAGCTGCAAGTGAAGTGTGTCTGTGCGCCTTTATTCTGATTTACACAACAGGTGCTCAAGGTGTGTCGCCAAAATTTTTATCAGAAGGCCTTTTATCGACAATTTCCTAGAGGAGCAATCCATCAAATCCAGCAGATGGGCACTGCCACCTTTCCCCCCATCAGCCCAACTGGGCTTCTGCAACAAAACTAATGACCCCTCCAGGGAGCCTGAACATTCACCAAGATGAGCCACGACAAGGCCAACCTGGAAACAATTTGGAGGCAACATCCTCGGGCATCTCCCAGGATTAGTTTCTTCCCAGAGGATGAATTACTGCAGTGGCACAATAGGAAACACTTCATTAGCAACAGGCTTGATTTCAGTTCATGTAGGGTCAAAGGCAAGCCCTAAACACAGAAAGCCCAGGAAATGTAAAAAAAAAAAAAATAAAAAAAGGAATTAAAAATGAATAAAAGACATCTGACAGCTGTTATAAAATATTAATATGTTTACCCAGATCAGGAGAAAATGGTTTTTTTATCTGGCTCCCCAAGTATCCAAAGGCTTCTCCAAATTCCTTCAAATGGTTTGTCCAATTTTTTTGACAATTCCCACGAACACTATGTGGATTTGGCTGAACTTCCCAAGGCAATTCCATGAGCCCCCAGCGGGGTCTGTGCTCCACGGCTGGCAGGAAGAACATCCTCCCTCCACACAGCCTGGCTACATCCACCTGGTCTCCCTGGAAAGCCTGAGCATGGAGAGGATACCAGGTGGGCCCCAGGGTCCCTTAGCAGAGCTGTCATCCTCAGTCCATCAGCCTTGGCGCCATCTCCTTTTATTTTCCCTACTGGATTAAGGAACCTGTTCTTCCAGGGTGAAACTTTTGATTATAACACGAAATTCCCTGGAAGTTTTGCTTTCTGATTATTCAGTTCTTTCTTTCAAATGCACCTGGCCAAGTAGGACTACACTAGTCTTTTTTGGTTTTCTGGCATGATGCCAACTCTTAAAGTTCTCTTAAATGCTGTAGCAAATGTTCTGTTTGCTGTCAGCCTTCCTTGGGCGACCAAAACGAGCCCAGTGGGAACTGCAGAATCCCAGAATGGTCTGGGTTGGAAGGGACCTTAAAAGAGCAGCTTGTTCCACCCCCTGCCATGGGCAGGGACACCTTCCACTAGCCCAGGGTGCTCCAGCCTGGCCTTGGACACTTCCAGGGATGGGGCAGCCAGGACAAAGACAGGTGGGAACAAAGGAGCTTAATTCCATGGGACACATCAAATGCTTCCTCACTGCAGGTTGTTTTATTTGTTAGATCTCAATTCTGCTGGTTTCTACCCCAGAAAAGAAGTTGGAAATCCACTGTTTCAAGGCATATCTGCCCAGATTTGCAAGAAATGACTCCACTGCTTTTTTGGGCATCTTTGGGGTGTTTTTGTGGCTGTAACAGCCCTCTTGTTTCACAAGGAAATTAAAAAGCGAGGCAGCACCAACATGGTGAGAGTCTGGTAATTAAAGACTGTTTCACTTTCCTCCTGGTACTTCCTTCTCCCACTGCTTCACCCCTGGAACCATTTTAGACCTATTTTCAATTTCAGAGATGCTTTTTAGAGGAAACATTTCCTCTTTCCATGCTCAAGCAGTGTCCCATTTCCAACCCAGCCCTCCCAGAGTTCTCCTGGCAGCCTGGCTCATCCTTAGGAAGAAACTTTCCCACACCATTTACTCTCAAACTACAAACCCTCCAGCCACTAAACCAGCCCTAAAATTGCTCATAAAATTCCCAGATCCAGAGAGCAGCCTTATGTCTCTCCTAGGAACAACTTGCTGTGACACCAAGGTGTGATTGTGCATGAGCTGGAATTTTGGATGTCTTGGGAAGACTTTTACAAGGAAGTTGGAAGAGCTTCCCTTGCTGCCAAGGTGATGCTGGTGGGTAACATGAACCCCAGTCAGTGAGACTGAAACACTCCAGTTTCTCAGGAAGGAAATGGTATTTTCCCATCATTTGTGTTTTGAAATGGCAACATCACTGTTGCTGAGATATTTCAGAGCAGGACACCCACAGAGCATGAAAATTGCTGTCAGTGGTTACATCTGATTAAGCAAAGAGCTTGGCTTGGAATAGAAAATATTTGGCAGCCTTAATGACACATCACCCCTCAGCCTGAGCATCTCCCATGACCACAACAACCCAAACTGGGTAATATTTGGTGTGTCTGGACAGAAAGAAATGATATTTTTCCTCATCAACAGAATTTCCCAGCTTTTCTCCACACTAAAATTCGCTCCTGCAGTTATTCCCATGCCTATAAAAGAACAGCCCAAGAGAAAAACTCTGACAAGAAATTCAGCACTGGGCAGGACACAGGACAACCTTCCCTGAATGATAAAGAGTGCTATAAATAGCATCAATTTTCTTGCCCTATAAATAAGATTCTTATAAATACTCTGCTACTAATTGCAGAGTGTTACTAGAATCTCTGGTGTAGATTAACTACAGCTTCATCAGGTTGAATTTCACTTGTGCTTCCTCACTATTTCAAGGGCATTATACTCTGAGGAGAAGGCACAGGAGACAAGCAAAGAAACTCTTTGTAACATGATCAGGAATGAGTGACTCTGCAATTATTAGTTATGGGGTTTTTTTTTTAAATGCTTACAGTGCAAACCAAAAATACCTGTCGCAAAAGTGGTAACAAAAAAAAGGGGCACAAAATTCTTGTTGCTTTGTATTTCTCTGAATTAATGCTTGCTAAGTTATCTAATTAATAAAATATAAAAATTCTTAAAAGAGTTCCTTGCTAAGTAATCTAATGAAAAATTATTCTTCTTGTCTTTGCCCCAAAAACCAAGAAGGGAATGAAGGGGGTGTTTGATCCACCAGGTTCCCTCGGTTGTGTACATGAAAGAACCTCCCTGGTGTTCCCCACCTGTGCTCAATGGAGAGACCACATTTCTTTTTAATCCATAATAAATTAACACATCAGAAGGATCAGGATTTCTGAGGTATTATTCCCAAACTCAACCTTTGCAGAACACCAGACTTCTAGAAATGGAGGAGTGTGAGATAGCTGGGTAGAAAGCACTTGTGTCAAAGCAGGATTGAGGGTGTGGAGATCATCCCTCCGAGGTATTTGAGCAGGGAATTGTGTCTCTCCAGAAGACAGGAAGGGCTTCAGAGGTCCCTTCTGAACTCTGACAGCATCAACATGTCCTGCATCAACACTGTGTGCCCAGGGAACACAGGGACAAAGTAACCCTTTGTGATATTTCACAGAATCATGGAATATCCAGAGCTGGAAGGGACACACAGGGATCATCCAGCCCAGCTCCTGGCCCTGCACAGACACCCCAACAATCCCACCCTGTCCCTCAGAGCGTTGTCCAAACCCTCCTGGAGCTCTGGCAGCCTTGGGGCTGTGCCCACTGCCCTGGGGAGCCTGGGCAGTGCCCACCACCCTCTGGGGGAAGAACCTTTCCCTGAGATCCAACCTGACCCTGCCCTGGCACAGCTCCAGCCGTTCCCTGGGTGCTGTCCCTGGGCACAGAGCAGAGATGGAGCTGCCCCTCAGGAGGAGCTGCAGCCCCCGGTGAGCTCTGCCCTCAGTCTCCTCCAGCTGAACACACCAAGTACCCTCAGCTGCTCCTCCCATGGCTTCCCTTCCAGGCCCTTCCCCATCCCTGTGTCCCTCCTTTGGATGCTCTCCAACAGCTTTAGATCTTTCCTATATTTGTGCCCAAACTGCCCCCAGGACTCGAGGTGAGGTGCCCCAGTGCAGAGCAGGGGGGGACAATCCCCTCCCTTGACCCTCAGTGCTGTCCCACACCCCACTGAAAGCTCCCAGCACACAGGGAGGTCCTACACATCTCAAAAATCCAATGGATTTATTTTCCTTTCAAACAGTGGCAAAGTTTTCCTGTTTTCCCAAGGCTTTTGACTCCATCCTGCAGGTCCCGTTGGGTTCCTGCCCTGGGGAAGTCAATCCCTGTTCATTCTATTTGCCTCTCTTTTGCTTTCACAGATCAACACCACATTCCCTCGGAAAGATTCCCATGGAAGATAAACCTTTTGATAGTTTATACCAACACTTCACTGCCCTCACAACTGGAAAACCACCGCAGGAGTCACACTGAATTTCTGTGCCATGCTCATTGCTTTTAATCCCACTCCCAACAACTGTAGGAGCAGTTGAATTCGCAGCACTGGATCATCCAGGCATGTTTTTTTCTGGAATAGCCCCCCCTAATTCCCTCAAGCTCCCTAGACAAGATATTATTTTACTCTTCTCATCTCCTCTGTGTCCTTGGAGCTGCAGAGCTCCAAGCAGGGCCGTGTCCTTCACCCAAGGACTCCCCACCCCACACGGGCTGGAATAACATCACCTTCTCTAACATTTGCTGGGATGAACTCAAGCTGTGTTCCAGCACCAGCTCCGTTTCCACAGGAATTCCATTCCCCAGTTACTCCCGTTTTGTGTCTGCCCTTCTTCATTGTCAGCGTTTGCCACCACTGAGCTGATTCAGAGGCGCCTTCCCTCTGAATATCTGGAATATTGGAGAGATCCCCCTTGAAGTATCAAGACACACTGGGACTGCAGCGCTCAAAATTAAATGGCCTCTCTGGAGAAAACCATCAAAGGCTCTCCAAAGCTCTGGAAAAGGTGCAAATTGGAGGCAAAGCCCAAGGCAGGGGAGGGATGTACTTACTCTCTGTCTATGACCAGACACGTCACCGCCTCGGCCGCAATGACGTTGGCTGTTCTGACGTCCTCCCTGCAAGGAAAAACACATTTCTTGAGCCAGTTGCATTATTTCCACGACAATCTTTTGATTTCCAGACATCTGGGATCCCTCAAGCCCTTCAGAAAAATACATTTCTGGGAGGCACAGCTTTGCCCTTGTGTTTTCATTGCCCACGCAGGTAAAAGCTACAAATTACCATGTAATAAAACACCAATTTAATTGATTTTAATCCGGCTGATTCGCTGCTCCATCAGGGTTCAAGAGATGCATTTTCTGTGTTGGGGAGAGAAATGCACAGGATTCATTTCATCCCAGTTCACTCCCACCTTTCCAGGTGTGAAGGGTAAGTGGATCACAGGCAAAAAGAGACCTCTCCTTCTAAACACCCCTAATTTGTTTAGACTGTGCATTTCCACTGAGGCAGAAAATGAGATTTAAAGGTGCTGTTAGAAGTAAAAATGTCCTCATTTAAAGACTGGAGGTATTAAAGCAGTAAAAAAGGGTGATGCATGTGCACTCATCTCTCCCTTTAAAGTAATCATTAATTAACTTTAATTGCCTTTGAGATGTCTTTATGTCAATACCTTTAAAACAGAGCAAGCAGAAACACAAATGACAGGAACATTAATATTCAAATGCTGACTTTGAGTCTATTTGCACCGAAATTAAGTGTGTATTAGTGCTAATTTACCCCACTGATAAATGAAATTATGGTAATTGATAGCAAGGAGAAAGAAGGAGCTGAATAGCAGTAGATAATTATCTCTATTAACTTCTAAAACTTTGGTAAATATAGAGAGGGTAAGGAATTATGGTGTTTAATATCTCCTTAAGTTGCTGTAGCCAACTTTCACTGGAATATTGATCCATTAAAATGACTGCAACCTTTCTGGGTGTTCCCTAATTCCAGTTAAAACTTAACATATCTATCCCATTATCTCAGATGAACTTCTGTCACAAAAAAATAGTTCATCCCTTTATAGTTCTGGATTAAAGGCATGATGATGGTCACTATATTATATTTAGATGATTGTAGAAGTGGAAAATGCACTACAACTGGTGGCTTCATCAAACATTTTAAATAAATCTTGAAACTGGAGATTCCAACACACAAGGGACTGCTGTGGGGTTTGCTATTCTGCACTTGATACATCCTTTTAATCAGCATGGAATCGATCTTTGGTACCTCCAAAGTCCTCCTGTACCACCTTCTGTACCAACCTTGAACCTTCTGGTGAAACACAAGCCAAGCTCAGACCTCCCAACACCTCCCAGTGCTCCAACACATCCCAACGCTCCAATTCCTCCCAAGGCTCCAACTCCTCCCGGTGCTCCCAGCACCTCCCAAGGCTCCCAAATCCTCCCAACACCTCCCAATGCTCTCAACACCTCCCAGTGCTCCCAACACCTCCCAAGGCTCCCAAATCCTCCCAACACCTCCCCATGCTCCCAATACCTCCCCAAACCTCCCAGTGCTCCCAACACCTCCCAAGGCTCCAACACCTCCTGAGGCTCCAACTCCTCCCAACGCTCCAACTGCTCTCAACATTCCAACACCTCCCAAGGCTCCAACACCTCCCAAGGCTCCAACACCTCCCAAGGCTCCAACTGCTCCCAGTGCTCAAACACCTCCCAGTGCTCCAGCTGCTCCCAAGGCTCCAACACCTTCCAGTGCTCCCAACACCTCCCAAGGTTCCAACTCCCCCCAGTGCTCCAACACCTTCCAACGCTCCAACTGCTCCCAACATTCCAACACCTCCCTAAGGCTCCAACACCTCCCAGCACTCCCAGCACCTCCCAGTGTTCCCAATGCCTCCCAAAACTTCCCAGTGCTCCCAACACCTCCCAGTGCTCCAAACACCTCCCAATACCTCCCCATGCTCCCAACACCTCCCAGTGCTCCCAACACCTCCCAGCGCTCCCAACACCTCCCAACACCTCCCAGTGCTCCCAACACCTCCCAACACCTCCCAGCGCTCCCAACACCTCCCAACACCTCCCAGTGCTCCCAACACCTCATGCAGCCTCAGGCCCGGGGCCCCAACAGGCCCAGGGCCACCACCCCACAAACCAACCCCTGTTGCCCTCCAGCCACACAACCTGCCAACCCACGTTCGAAAAGGGAATTAATTGACGGGATTAAACGCAACGGGAGAGCACTGGAAGCGCAGAATTCCATGGCATTGGAGGCAAAAATAAACACTACCAGTGCAAGGCACTGAGTGAAAATGTAATTACTAGCAGGTGCATGGCATTAAATGAGACAACTAATTCCTACAAGTGCTCAGCATCAAGTGCAAGAATAACTAGTGCAAGTGCACAGCATTAAATGTAGGAGTAATTCCTACCACTAATCACTACCAGAGATGAAAAAGTAGCTACTACATGGCATGAAATGCAACAAGTAATTACTCAAACTGCACGGTGTTCAGTGCAGAAGTTACTGCTGCAAGTGCATGACATTAAATGCAACAAGTAATTACTACAAGTTCACGGCATTAAAGGCAAGAGTAATTAACTACCACTGAACAGCATTAAATGTAAAATAACTACTACAAGAGCATGGCATGAAATGCAACAATAATTACTAGTAGTACATACAAAAAGGAATTACTACAAGTGCACAGCATTAAATGCAGAAGTTACTACTAGCACTGCTGGCTGACTACCAGTGCACAGTATTAAATACAAAAGGAATTACTAGTGAGGACGTGGCATTACATGCAGAAGTGTAAGTGGACAGCATTAAAGGCAAAAGTATTAATTACTCCCAGTAAGTACTCCAAGTGCACAGCATCAAATGAAAAAGTAATTACTACCATTAGTTACTATCAGTGCACAGCATTAAAGGAGAGAGTAATTACTAGTGAGTGCATGGCATTAAATGCAACAAGTAATTACTACAAGTGTACAGAATGAAGTGCAAAAGTAACTACTATGAGTGCACAGCATTAAAGGCAAAAGTAACTACTACAGGTACATGGCATTAAGTGCAAAAGTAACTGTTGTTTACTACAAATAATTACTACAAGTGCACAGCACGAATTGCAGAACTTACTACTAGTAAGCATTACAGGCAAAATTAACTACTACATTAAACACAGAAGTTACTACTAATAAGTGCATGGCACTAAATGCAACAAGTAACTACTACCAGAAATCACTACCGGGACACAGAATTAAATGAGAAAGCAATTCCTAGCAAATCACAGCCCAAAATGCAACAGGTAATTGCTGCAAGTGCACGGCACTAAATACAACAAGGAGTTACTTTAGGAGCACAGCACCGAACGCACAAGCAGCTCCTAGAAGAGCACTGTGTTAAATCCAGCCATTAATTAGCCACTAACGATGCATTAATTACTAGCAGTGCCGCCACCACCCCCTGGCACCAGCGAGAGTCCCGACCCCGGCACTGACTCGGACACTCCCCGGCCGTCGTCGTCGTCGCTGCTCCCCGAGAAGCCACGCTCGTCGTCAGCGGAATCGCCGTCGCTCTCGGAACACTCCATGGCTCCTGCCTGCCTCCACCTTTTCCCTGGACACAGGCCTGCTTCCCCCCAGCCTGTTACTATATTTTGCCCTCTGGTATTTTGCAGCTCCTCCGGCCTCACGCTTGGGCACCTGGAGAAAGGTCACAGCTGCTGCCACCGCGGGGGTTTCTCGGGGAAATCCAAGAGGAGGGGATTTGGGAGCTGTCCTGAAGAGCTCCATGGCTGGACACAAGTGGGCTCGTGCCCAAAGTGCATCAGGAGACCTTGTTTCAGCTCCTTAAGCCCGTGTGGAATGAGGTGGCAGCGATCCCCACGTTCCTAAAGCTCTTCCCGTGACACCACTGGGAACAGGAGTCCATCACGGGGTGACCCTGGGGATGGGACTCCGTGGTCCTGGAGGGTCCCTTCCAGCTCAGCACATTCTGGGATTATTGAAGAGGTGAACTGCATGCATCTGTTGAGCCCTCAACAACTTCAGGTCATACATCAGCCTCTGTTCCCTGGTTTGGCTTCAGGTTGTCATAATTTGCCTTAAATTTAAAAATATTTGAGATGCTCCCCAATGTTTTGGGATGTTTTAACCTTCCTACATCCCCAAACTGATGGAGTCCTGCTCCAACACCAGCTCCCAGAGCTCCTACTGCACCTAATCCCTTAAGAATACTGATACGATTCTTCAAATAAAGGGAAACTGCATTTGGATGGTTTAATTTAACACTATCCCACCATATTTGCTTGAAACTTGCTGGTTCTGGGGATCCAGTCCCCCCAGTGCAGCCTCCTGACCTCCTCCAGCCTCTTGGGTTTGTCTCCCGACTGGCATTTTGTCAGGCAAAGTGGACTTTCAGAGACATTTTTAGGTCTCCAGGTAGGCCAATCCCTCTCTTTAAAGGCCAAAAGAAAACCAAATTTTATTACCACTCCTCACAATACCCAATAAAGAGAATTTTTATGTCCCACCTGAAAGCCACGGTGTAATCAGAAAATACCCAATTAACTCAAAAGGGAGATAGAGATGCTGAGGTCTGAGCTATTACAGATAAATTCCAGTTAATGACTGATTCTTCCCATCTTTTTTTCTCCTTTCACTTATTTCCGACATGTCCTAAATACTTTCAATCAACCTTATTAAAAATACTGTACCAAGGTCAAGTGTGCGGTGCTGGAAAGTGATAAAATGCATTAAGAAAATGGAATATCAGCCAATCAGGAACCTCTGGAGAGTCTTCCTGGGGTGTATTTATAAAACTCGCCAGGGAAGACCTGATTTCTTATTTCTTTTCTTTGAAAACCTTCATTAACACCCTTTTAAAGGAGCTAAACTTTCATTAAGTCCCACGAGATGTGAGATTTCTGCCGTGAACCTCTCCCAGGCTCTGCAGAGCAACCACCAAGGACCAGCCACTGCCCCGTCTCCTGGTGGCCTGTAAAAATCTGCTACTGGAATTAATAAATACAGCTTCCATAAATTTGAAGGTGAAGCTAAGGAAATGTGCCATTTGAAAAAAGCTCCACTTGAAAACAAAACCTCTGAAA